ATACTTTTCCCCCGCTTTCATCGTGTCCATATTGTCCTGGAGTCAGCTGCTCAATCTTGAATTGCTGGCGCCCTTTCCACCTCATACCTTAGGCCCCGTTCACACGGGAACGCAATCGTTCCGTTCCATTTTTGTTCCAGTTTCTGGAACGAAAAGGTATACTGTTCACACGGTAACGGAACGATTGCGTATCGATTTTTGTTTATGTTCAGACGGGAACGCAATCGTTCCGTTCTGCAATTTGCGCGCCAAAATAAGCGAATGATTTTTAATGCGCATGTCCATAATGGAGATAGATTTCATCATTTCGATTTATCTCTGAGCTATCTCTGAATTTTTTAAACAATTTGAATAAATGGGGAATACAAAGGGGCCCGAAAATAAGCAAGCTCGTAGGAAAATTGAAGCCAACCCTAAAAGGAAGGAATTTCAATGTTTGCAGAATGGTGTTGAATCTTTTAAATGGACTAAGGGCGAGATTCAGACAATGGTGTTTTTGAAATCCTCCATTTTCTTCGCTGAGTTTATTATTGTCACCTTTTCCTTCCCTCAACAACAACACAGACACATGCGCCAAGGGCAAAACTCTTATCGTTCCATTTTCTGGACCAGTTCTGCGCGTTCACACGGGAACGGAACGGAACGATTGCGTACCGTTCCACTTTTCGTATCACTTATTTTATCGTTCCACTTTTTGGAACGATGTCGTTTGAAGCGTTCCCGTGTGAACACAACCCCTGAGCGTTCCGCTTTTCGGAACGGAAAAGAACGGAACGGAACGATTGCGTTCCCGTGTGAACGGGGCCTTAGACCATCTTCATTACGGATCTCGAGAACTTACCTTTTCTGTGGTCTTATTATCTTTGGAAGCTTGTTTATAAACTTTTCAATTGATTCTGACATTCGGACATCCTGCTTCAGCTTCTTCCATTCGTTGCGAACATTTCCAAAATATAAACGAGTTGTTCTACTTACTATCGGGTCGTGTTCACCCAGCCTCCTAAGACTGTAACTTACTTCTCTTAATTGGTCTTATCTTCCTTAGTAGAAAAAATCACCTCGTTAGTTCTCTTATTATTAAATTGCATTTTCCATTATCATGCGAACAGATTTACCACATCGAAATCATTATTCAATTCGGAAAAAGCTCCTGCCTCGTTCTGAACTGTTGTAAATAACAAAGTATCACCTGCGAAAAGTTTAACGTCACATTCTAGGATACTAACAAGGTCATTAATGTAGATTAGAAAGAAATGTTGATATTCCCTTCCAATGTTCTCTTCTTCGTAAAGCGATGAAAAATCGATAGCAACAACGCCGAGAGATGTACTATGTTTTATACTACGTCTGAACCGAGAGAACCCACCTGGGTGCCTACCTGGTAACAAAGGGAATCGCAATTAGCCAATCAGCGGCCACATCCGGTTTAGTCAAATGCTCTATCTATTGCCACACTATAAAAAGCGAGAAAGCTACGGATAATCCTTCCAAACAAACTTATTGTCCTACGGACAGTTTCAGCTATGTAAGGTGGGATATTTATCGCCATGTTTGCACAAACTTGAAATTTATTAAAATGATAATAAAGAGATTAGAAGTAAAGATATTTTGAACGAAGTAGCAGAACTGTGCAAGAGTGCAGAAGCCTTGTTTAACAAGAAAATATACTTTGAGTTGCCTATAACAGTATTTTCGTTTATCGCATCGTTATATCAGAGGGTTGCAGCTTAAAGGCAAAGAAAAGCATAACAAAAGATAGGCATATTCTTATTGACAAGAGGAAGAATATCATAGACAAAGATGGTACCAGAAAATGGAGTGATGAGTCGTTGTCTCTCGCTGGTCCCAAACAATCCAGAGAACCCGAGCACAATAATTGCTGGAACCGTTCTGATTGTATTTGCCTTTTTCAATATCCTGTCAAATTCCCTTTTGATTTTCGCATTGTACAAATCGAAGCAGAATCGGACATTTTCAAATAAATATATTCTCATAATGACATTGTCATATTTGTGCTTTGGAATCTTTGCACAGCTTGTGACAGGAGCATTCTGGATATCAAGTAGACAAAGAAACTGCCTTGAGCTTAAATCTGTTGAGTTTACGGTGACTTTTTTGGGATACATTTCATTCTTTATGATAATCACAATTTCAATAGATCGGTACCTTCACGTTACAAAACCGATTCGATATCAGGCGATGATGAACACTAATCGGATGACCCTATTGGTTGTATCTTGTTTTATTAGTGGATTTGTTGCTGCCACAATAACTTTAGTATGGGAGTCCTTCTACCGGCAGTTAACCATCGTGATTTTTAACTCCATACTTCAGACAGTTTTTCTTATATTGAATGCAAAAACATTAAAAATTCTTGAGAGACACCAAAGAAATGCAATCTTTCGATTTCAACCTGGCGATCGACAAAAAATGCCGAATTCTCAAAATGAACGTTTAGCTGCAGTGAAAACAATTCGTCTGGTTTTGGGTTTATTTCTTATCAATTACACCCCCTACAACATTTCTTCAGTTTTCTGGGCGTATCATGAATTCAAAAAAAGTTCTGCACCCGGAGTTGTGCTGGACACAATTTACAAATGGAGCTGTGTAATTGCGGCTAGTGTCAGTTTTCTTAATTCATTGATTTTTATACGTGGAAATACAAAATGCCGCAGAGTTTTAAGATTGCTTTTCTGTAAGAGTACCGTAGCTCTTGGGTGAAATACAATATTTAAATTCATAGGCATGGATACAGGAGCTGAGAGTATTGCAGCAGCTTTGCTAATCAGGGCAAGTTTAAAGCATTTCAGGCCATTTTCGGGAGTTCTTTCTCAATGAACGAGAGTAGTCAGGCAAGATCCAGACTGACCCTCCCTAAATGTTTAACATCAGCTATGCCGATGATTATATTGACGACTATTTCAAAGGTATGCTAGAGAATCATATCAACTTTTGAAATGAGTAACTAGCTGCACTGAAAACACTTCGTTTAGTTATGGAAGTATTTGGTGTTTAATACTGTCTAATAACAATGCATTCACCGTCTGGTGTCATAGATGCCTTCTTTGAGTGGAGTGCTGTTTTTTGGATTCTCTGATCAAATTTTATGAAAATTCAAAGTGTTACAGAACACTGTCATCCATTTCCAGCGCTGTTTGTGAGAAAAGTAATGGACGACATTGGATATCGCTTTTCATTTATATGTTGATGATTATATAAAAGATATGCTAGACATACGCAAAATAATTCCAAAAGAAAAGCAGATTGGTTTTATATAGAGAAATGGTACCAGAAAAATTGTAACTTTTGGGCAGAGGACAAAAAGCATTAGTGAGAAAAAAGGCAAGCAGCCACAAACACTTCTGGGCATTAGATGGAAAGACATGAGCGTAAGAGACGTTACGCAAAACAACGATGTCGTCGAGTAACTCATTGAAAAAGATTCATATGTACCAATTTAAAATCCTTCTTTCTTTGTACTCTGGAGAAGGTGGGCTTGGGACCTGAAGCCCCTAATGCTGGAAAAATTTCTTAGGGGTCTTCAAGTGTCAGGTTGCCGTGTAACAGATTTTTCAATTAAATAAAATGGTATACACTAATGTCGAAAAAAAGGACCTTCTCCCCTGTTTGCCAACTATTGACTTCGTGATTCTTGAAAACAAAGCGTAAACAGAAATTTAAAATTTTCATAAAATTACGGAGGTTGGCTCGATTTCAGAAACTATCCGTTTATCCCCAACCTTATGAAACATTCTGAATAATATGCTATTAATACCAGTTCAAAGCAACATCATGAAATAAAAATTAAGCATTGGCTTATACAATTTCGATTAACAACATTCGACTGATCTCAGCGTTGAAATAGTAGATAGAAACAGGCGCATATATCCAGTCGTTGAAAGGGTAGTAAGAAAGGCTTTCCTTTTAAAACATTTTTTGATATCACAAAACTGTCTTCATTCTATCATTAAACCAGGCATTAATATGTGCTTGTCGGTTTGAATGGCGTGCCTCGACTTTTCATGCAGCCCGAACCAGGGGTTATTCTAACGTGGTTTTGTTACCGCTTTGTGGTGTTGTAAATTTAATTTGTGGTGTTGTTTTTTTCAATTTTGTGGTGTTGTAAAAAAATTGACCCTCTGGAAAATATATGAAATCATTCGGTAAAACTGTGGGAATTTCAAATCAAAACACAACTTGACACAACAGAAGAATTATAGTTAATAGTCAGCAAGTCCTGAATCTTAAAACATTTTTACTTTTGATCTTGGCCATTTATCTTTTTTATGTGGTTGTCTAAGGTAACACTTTATGCCTCCATGTACGCCCCTTGAAATCAACGCTGACGTTTCTCTTTCTCTCTTAGTTTTTGCCTTCTCTTTTCGATTTCAGACATCCATCACAGAATAAAAATGACACTTGGACAAGGGCCCAGGGAGTTTTCGGAATACACTGACTACTGGGGATGTCCCAACTAAAACAGTCTGATTTTCGGCTGGAAATTCTGGGACAGGGTTGTCTTTTTTCTGGCAGAGGTATGCCCATCAAAGACAGGTCAGATTTTTCATGAAAATTGGGAATGTTTTTCACTCAATAGAGTTATTCTCTTAAAGCTCAAATTTGGAATAAAGGCTATTATTCCAGGATAGTTTTCATATCTACAGAAATTTTTTCAAGGACAGGGTCAAAAATTTGTTTGTGTAAGGCAAATCCCCGTAGTCTTTCAATTTCTCTCAAAGGTAAAGCAACCCCCTTCCCCCTGGATAAGGGCTCCACATTTCGAGCACTTGCAAATTGAAATGCATACGTAAGTACACATTTTGTGTGGTACAAATAATATTGATTCTACTTCACATGGATGTTTTCTGATGCATGCACTCATTAGCCACCTAACATTTCACAAGTGCAGCTCTGCAGCTAGTATCATAGCCAACGCTTCTATAAGATACGGAAATACACTTATGCCAGTTTCATATTTTTCATTAGAACAAATGTAGAATTGACCATTTGTTGATGCAATAATGCCAGTTCCGTAATGCCCAGATCGGAGCATATTCTATCATGCACTTTGATATGTCCCTGATAAAGGCATTTTGGTGCCCTTTGCTGCCTGCTTATTTGTCTAACAGGGTTTTTAGGGTTTCTCAATTTTCTACCGCCGTTCTGCGTGGGTTCTAGGGGGCTGTGCCCTGCACTTCGGGTCGAGTTTTACTACTTTTTTAGTATTTTCATCTTTTTTCACCATTCCGGGTTGATATCATCGATTCTGTATCTCGCTATCTACAAACCGTTCTCATAAATGAACTTCAGATTTCAAATCATAGTCTTGAAATTAGTTTATACTGGGAACTTCGACTTGAATAGAGAAGAAAAGATAAAGCGAAAAGGAGTGCGTGGTTGTATGTTTAAACGATTAATTGACGGTGTCTGCTTTTTGAACGGCAAGTGTTGTGTTGCCAAATCCTGAAAATGGTTTTTATTAAATCAAATGGGGAAATTTGCTAATTGTAATAAAAATGATGAAAGGCGGTTTGCAATGTCCAAAGATTTCTAAACAGATTCTTCTTATTGCAGCATGTTGAGTGTAAACAAAAAGAATTGAATTTAGCCCTTGGGTCTAAACAATATGACATATTTGTATCAAAAAATAACACTGTTTGCAAAAAGCTTCTAGAAAGCTAGAGAAAGCACAACATTTCACATGTTGATATAGGACATCAGGAAATTGAAAAATATTAATTTGGCAATTTTAATTGAAATCGGACAAAGTGTGTTTACTTCGTGCAAAGGAAAAGGTAAAAAGAACTAATTGGCCAATTGCAGCAAAGAAATGAAAAAATATATCGTTGGTTTGCTCAATACGTACAAGGAAAGTGCTTGCAATTTACTTTTATCACCATGTCTTTTAGTGACGTTTTAGCACTTGCAAATCTGGTCCTTCCAGAATACTGCGGTAGAGGGCCATCCATAATAAAATTTACCTACAAATAGATAGACGAAAAAAACTTTAGGTGCTATTTCACCCACCGATAGACGCTTGTACCAACCAACTAAGAATTTTATGAACCAAATGAAGGTATACCAGGCAACTCATAAAGAACTGGGGGTATGACACACCCCTAGGACCTCCGACTCAATTATCATCAGACTCAATGATGAGGTTAGGCTGATCAGCCAATATCAAGTCAATGCATTATATTCACTTGCCCATTAGAACCATTATTAGAAGGGTTTGCTCAGAGATCAACTGGTGTAGACCATTCCCAAAGGCCTTCATTATTTCAATATTCCCACAGCTGTGTTGCGTTGATCTACAGCTGAAATCACCTCGTATGGTAACACAGAATTGATTTTCAGCATATAGAGTTATGTTTAAACATATTATGTTTAAAGTAGGAGCAAATCTGGCCTGGTTGATTGCCCCCTGCCAGCGAATACATCCGGTTTAAATCACTTTTTCGTAAGGTGATGGTGGAAAATTCTTAGAAAGAGATGCAAATCAAAATTAAAAAAACATTCTGATATTCGTTTAATCTGATTGTCAACGGCTTTTTCGTTGCGAGTTTTAAATTCAAATATGGATGATGAGATCATTTCACTTTTTTTATGAAAGCTTGATTTTAACCATATAACGTCGTATGTATTTCAAGAAAAATGTTGAAGATTTTCTTGACACTGTTGACACAAGATTTTTTTGGTTCAAATCTTTATCGTTTTAGAGTTTTTAAAATTCAACGAATAACAAATAATTTAATTTGTGACAGTAGATAGATATAAATATAAAACTTTTATCCAGTATTCAAGGCTAAAAAAAACAATAAATTGTCTGATCAAAGGTTGAAATAGTTTAAAGCAAAGATAAATTAGGATCCTTATTGTATTTGATGTCGGTAGAAACGCGCCTAGAAATTCATCAAGATATGTCAGCGTTTTTGTAACGGGAAAATATGTATAAATGCCATGTTTAAGCAAAAGCGATAAAAATTGCGGAATGAAGGGAATCCCGTTGCCTTCAGAATTATTTGTGTACGTTTGATGTGTTCTCTTTTGATTATTCAAAATGGTGCATCTAACCAAAAATGGTCACTTGATGCAGTTTTTCATTCTTGATCAACTCTGCCCTTTATGAAAATGGACGACAATGCTTGCCGAATTCTCTTGTTGCCTTGAACTATTATCAATGAATTAAGAAAAGTCACGCTGAACATAATTAGCATTGTCCATTTATAGATAGATAGATAAACTTTATTTACAGAGGATAAACCTGGTTAGCCTAATAACTAATCTTCCCAAGGGTTCTCTCTACTAACTACGCAATACGAATATAATACTATTATTTAAAAAAAAAAAAGTTTCCTATAAGATTAAAAAAAAACCTGGTAACAATTTTGTTTAAAGTAAAGTTTAAGTATTTAAATCTAAAACGTCAAGTTAATAGCGTGGTTAACGTAATTCCTGGCTTGATGTGTAAGTTGAAATTGAAATACGTCCAAGCCGTAGCTGCAATGTTGACTGGAAGATGACAGGCTAAAGTTGCTGCTAAAACCAAATGAATCGTTCTAATGGGACTTGGTTTCTCTTCTGCAGCACGATTATTGTCATGTATGGTTTGGTTTCCATTTTGCAGACGTAATGCTATTGTTCTTTGATGACGTTCTAGGATTCTGAGTGTTCTTGTATTAAATATAATTCGACATAAAACGTGAAGTAAGTTGACAATCATCATCACAACTACTATGTAGAGTGAAAAGAACATTATACAAATTATAGCCATTAAAAATCCGTGTGCTAAACATGTTACTACTTAAAGGGAAAATCGGAAACGATTCATGCAGGCTTGGTATCTGACTTGCTTTGTCACGTGGAAGTATCGATCGACTGAGATGCAAACGACCATTGAGATGTATGTAAAAAATACCAACAGAAATTCCATTACTTGGAGTTCAAAGCAACTTAGTTGCTTTCCTGTGAACCAAAATACTCCCAATCCTGGCATTACAAAGAAACCGGTGCACAGATCAGAGGTTGTAATTATTAACAGAAATTTGATTGAATACGACTTGTGCTGCTTCGATTTGAACATTGCATGGATCAAAAACACATTTGACGCTATGCTTATTAGTGCAAAGAGAATCGCAAAGGATCCAACGAGAGTTTTGCTTAGGTTTCCATGACTGTTGGTGATTATGGTCAAGCACAAAGAGACTGCACCTTCTTCGGCAGGCGTCTCCATTTTCCGCAGCAACTAAAATGTCTTATTCTTTAATTCTTTTATTCTCAAAACTTTTGCTCTAGCACCCTATTTGTAGAGACTGCCGTTGCTTGTAGAGGTTCTCTTTTTAATCACATGTTATACTGCGGCTCTTCACAAGGGCGAAAGATTACTAATGCAAGCACTCTGGTTGCATTTTGGACTTGATTTTTTTTAGAACTATGAGCTCAAAAGTGGTTTGTTTTGATGACAAAAATTACCATAAAATCTATTATCGTTGTCGACAAAACCGCCTTACTCGATCCTGAGTGTTATCACCCACCATGCAATTATAGTGAGGAACAATCAATAAAAAAATATTTGCTCAATGTCAGCAACATATTGTTGAAATTTCACCATCAAATTTCAACGCAGGCAGTTTATTGATTCGAATGCTAAAGCAGTTCTGGTTTTTTTCTTTCTCTCTTACTCCTCGTGTTGCAAAAACTCAGATTTTCTGTTGGCACTATGTTTTAGTTTATAGAATTAACTTATTTATATTTTGCTTATTGGCTCGATTCTTCACATAAACTCATTGATAAAAAGGGCTTTTTGTGTCATTTAAAGTATTTCACAATGTCTTGCTACTGTCTTCACGCTAGGGCACAGCTTAACCTGCAGTGATAACCGATTTGGGCAGTGATCTTTGTTACATACAGATACAACGGGCAATGTCTTCTGAAAATATGAAATTAAATGAATAAATGGTGAATTCGGTGATAATGATCACTTCCACTGTTATCTAAAGGTAGAATCTCTTTTTTGCAAGATACGAAAAATTAATTTTAGATGAATACAAAGTATCCAGCGAAAAAAAGTAAACTGCCTCGTGAAACGCCGAAAGATCATTAGTGAATCAAATCCCAGAGATATACCATGTTTCATACAATGTTTAAACTGGGGAAAAAAACTCGCCTGCTTGAAGGCCACTTGGTAACCAATGAGAATCGCTATTAGCTAATAAGCGACCACACCCGTTTCAGCGCGTTAATGTCAAATGCTCTATTTATTGCCACACTATACAAAGCGAGAAAGCTACGGAGAATCCTTTCAAACAAACTTATTGTCATACTGACAGTGTCAGCTATGTAAGGTGGGATATTTATCGCCATGTTTGCACAAACTTGAAATTTAATTAAAATGATAATAAAGAGATATTTCCAACGAAGAAGCAGCACTGTGCAAGAGTGCGGAAGGCTTGTTTAACGAGAGTTGCCTATCGTAGTATTTTCGTTTTTTGCATCGTTAATATCAGAGGATTGCAGGTAAAAAGCCAAGAAAGGCGTCATAACAAAAAATATATTTTTATCGCCAAGAGGAAAAATTTTATAGACAAAGATGGTAAGAGAAAATGAAGTGGTAAGTCGTTGTCTCTCGCTGGCTCCAAACAATCTAGAGAACCCAAATACAACAATTGCAGGAGCCATTATGATTATATTTGCCTTTGTCAATATACTGTCAAATTCGCTTTTGATTTTCGCATTGTACAAATCGAAGCAGCATCGGACATTTTCGAACAAATTTATTCTCATAATGACATTGTCAGATTTGTGCTTTGGAATTTTTGCACAGCCTGTGACGGGAGCATTCTGGATATCAAGTAGACAAAGAAACTGCCTTGAAGTCAAATCTATTCATTTTATGGTGATTTTTTTGGGATGTATTTCGGTCTTAATGATACTTCTCATCTCGGTTGATCGGTACCTTCACGTTACAAAACCGATTCGATATCAGACAATGATGAACACTAATCGCATGATCCTATTGGTTGTATCTTGCTTTATTAGTGGATTTATTGCTGCCACAATTAGCGTAGTATGGGAGTCCTTCTACCGCAAGTTAACTATCTTGATTTTTAATTTTGTGCTTAAGACAGTTTTTCTTATATTGAATACAAAAACATTAAAAACTCTTGAGAGACACCAAAGAAATGCAATCTTTCGATTTCAACCCGGCAGTCGAAATGAAATGCCGAATTCTCAAAATGAACGTCTAGCTGCAGTGAAAACAATTCGTCTGGTTTTGGGTTTATTTCTTATTTGTTACACCCCCTACAACATTGCTTCAGTTTTCTGGACGCATCATGGATTCAAAAAAAGTTCTGCTGCCGGAGTTCTGCTGGAGACAACTTACATATGGAGTGGTGTAATTGCGGCTAGTGTCAGTTTTCTTAACTCATTGATTTTTATACGTGGAAATATAAAATGTCGCAGAGTTGTAAGATCGCTTTTCTGTAAGAGCACCGAAGCTCCTGAGTAAAATACAATATTCTAATTCATAGGCATGGACACTGGAGCTGGGAGGATTGCAAGCGAAAACAAAAACTTAAAATTTTTATAAAGGTCGGCTCGATTTTTGAAACCATCCGTTTATCCCCAACCTTAATGAAACATTCTGAATAATATGTTATTAACACCAGTTTAAAGCAACATCATAAAAAAAGAATTATACATTGTCTTATATACTTCCGATTGACAACATTAGACTGATCCCAGCATTGAAATAGTAGATAGAAATTGGCGCGTAGTCGTGAAAAGCGTATTTAGATAGGCTTTCCTTTAAAATCGTTTTTTGATATCACAAAACTGTCTTCATTCAATCATTGAACAGAATAAAGACCACTTTTACTTAGGTAGATTAAGTTTTGTCTAAAGATATACTAAGTTGAGCATCATTAATAAATAGTAACGGAGACTTTGATTTATGTTTTGCTAAGGAGAAGTTTTTCATATTTCTAACATAACAGTTGAAATTGAAGAATCGCATTGACTTGCATTAAGCAGAAAAGATAAAGTGAAAAGGAGTGTGTGGTTGTATGTTGAAACGATTAATTGGCGGTGTCTGCTTTTTAAACGGCAAATGTTGTGCCATCATAACCCCCGAAAATGTTTTTCATTGATTCAAATGTGGAAATTTGCTTATTGTCATAAAAATAATAAAAGGCGGTTTGCAATGTCCAAAGATTTCTAAACAGATTCTTCTTATTGCTGCATGCTGAGTGTAAACAAAAATAATTGAATTTAGCCCTTTGGTCTCAACAATATGATATCTTTGTATCAAGAAAAGACACTGTTTGCAAAAGGCTTCTAGAAAGGTAGCAAAAAGCACAACATTTCACGTGTTGATATAGGACATTTGGAAATGGAAAAATATTAATCTAGCAATTTTAATTGAAATCGGACAAAGTGTATTTATTTTGTGCAAAGGTAGACGTATAAGAGGCTGATTGGACCAAAGAAATTAAAAAATATATAATTGGTTTGTTCAATACGTACAAGGAAAATGTATTGACAAACATGGTTGGTGAAAATGGTACTGCGTCTTTGTGTATGTCATTAATCACAAACAATCATGCAAATCTGAACAAAACTCTAGTTAGATACTTCAGAGGTGGCGCTAGAAGCAAACATTGAAGGTGCCGATGTTTCTATTCAACGAAACTGCTGACAAAAAATGTATCAAACTACCGGTAGAAAAATAAAATATGAGAAGGTATTCATTTGGGCGATGTGCCCCGTATCGAAACAAGAACGGTTTTTCGGTAGTTTTCCCATGGAAAGAAAGTCCCAATATTGCACACACCATTTTCTTTTAAAAATGTTGTTTTAATGAATATTCATGCTCAGAATCATCCATTTTTTGATAATATCATAAGTATATAGCTCAGTCTCAGCTCGCATATTTATATCTCATTTTCTCAGTTGCCATTATAACGATATTATTATGATGATGTTATAATGACAGAGCACTGCATGACTCAGTTTTTTCGTTTTTTCCTAAAGCGTTAAATCTATTCGAGGGCGGCTATTTCTCTAAAACCTTGGAACTATTTGTAACTGTTTTTCCATGAAAAATTTTCAGATTTTGAAAGAAGCAACAATATTTAAAGAATATATGAAGACATTTTTCTCAAACGAAGAATGTGCTCCAGATCAAATGTTTCATTGGCAATAATACTGCCTCTAATTAAAAGAGAATCCCTTAACAACAGAATTCATTATCAAATAATTCTGCTGTTAGGGTAAATATTCCAGAACCGTTTGAGAACCTGTTCCAAATCAAGCGTCTCTGCTCATTCTACACTTATTACAAGTAGGGGCCACCGAGAGGTTTCGAGTCCTTAGGGCAAAAGTAAAGGGGGAGGCCTTAAGTACCCTTCTACCCTTAAGAGTTGCTTAAAATAGATTGCAGAACATTTTGAGGCATACTTTTCTTACGTTCGATCAATTCCATTCTTAAAATGGAATTCATGTCTCTTTGAGGTGGAATTGGAATGGAATTTTAAAATGGAATTCCAATCATCAATCGAGAGTCATTCTTCTCTTCATCTTCATGTGGTTTTTTAAAATATATAGAGAAATGAACGATCATTTTAAGATGTGATGCGAGGGAGCGCTCACTGAATACCCTGGGTACCAGAGCCACATATTTCGATAATGGAAATAGAAGATTGGAGTGGAGAGGTGGGCGAATCATCCAAAGGACATGATATCATGCCGGTACGCTATAAAGATGCCGAAAATGAGTCAAAAAGAAAATTAATAAACCAGCCACGGAAATTTTCATGTCGATGTTAGATGTATTCTTCTCCAAACTTCCGTAAACTGGATGAAGTCCATCAAGTGCCGACGGTATTGGGAAAGCCAAAATAGATTGGCTTTGCGATTCTGTTCGCACTTGTGAAATTTATGTCAAACGGTCTTTGATATTTACATTGTGCAAATCAAAACAGCTTCGGACATTTTCGAATGAACTCGTCCTCATAATGACCGTAAGCGATTTGTTCACGGGAATCTTTGTATTTCCTGCATCAAATTTTACATTAACTCTCTATGGAACAGTTTGGTGTTGATGCTACTTTGCATGTCACTCGACCAGTGGCGTAGCCAGGGTTGGAAGATTGGAGAAGCGTCCCTCTTGAAAATGCCAGGAACACCTCCGTAGAGGCGCAAATGGATGGTGGTGGCCCAGATAGCCTCAAATTTTCAATTTTAGGATTTTATAAGAAAAAGTGGGGCAAATCATATCATTAACGCTGTAAATCATGTCTTTTAGTGACGTTTTAGCATTTGCAAATCTTGTCCTTCCAGACTAGTGCGGTAGAGGGCCATCCATAATAAAATTTACCTACAAATAGATAGATGAAGAAAACTTTAGGTGCTATTTCACCTACCGATAGACGTTTGTACCAACCAACTGAGAATTTTATGGACCAAATGAAGATATACCAGCCAATTCATAAAGAACTGGGGGTATGACACACCTCTAGGCCCTCCGACTCAATTATCATCAGACACAATGATGAGGTTAGGCTGATCAGCCAATATCAAGTCAATGCATTATATTCACTTGCCCATTAGAACCATTATTAGAAGAGTTTGCTCAGAGATCAACTGGTGAAGACCATTACCAGAGGCCTTCATCATTTCAATATTCCCACAGCTGCGTTGCGTTGATCTACAGCTGAAATCACCTCACCCCTTTCACATTCCATTATCATTGCGAAGAGTGACTTCGAAAACGAGGCTAGCGTTGTTCCGCACAACAATCGCAAACCTTAGATACGGCCAAACACTGTGTTTGTCAATATTTCCTGATATTATTTGCTAATCTGTTGAAAAATTTTCGGTAGCAATATGGCTGAGAATACTGAGAAACCGGTAGCTAATATTCAGGTGAAGAAGAAGAAATCGCTGGGGAGACAATGCGCTGCTCTTTGTTGTTATAATTTTTCCTATAACACAGATGGTTCACCCAGTGGCCTACATTTTTTTAAGTTTCCGCAGAAGAATCCAGAGAAGAGAGTTTGGTGTAACTTGATCAAAAGAGTTGATGGTTTGGATGGTTTTAAAGTTACTGCAAGTACAGTGTTATGCCAAGAACATTTCAAAGATGAAGATTCAAAGCGAAACCCTCAGCGATGGAAGTTACATCATGGCGCAGTTCCTTCGTTGAAGCTTTATAACAGTGATGCGAGGACCAGCAAAATCTCCCGTAAGGCACCAAAGGATCGCAGCCACTATTATGAAATCCCACAACCGCAGCCTTCTTCTTCCGCTACATCTGAACTTGATGATTGTTCTGATTCCATTCAAGAAGATGTTTCTAATTACCGAAACAGTTCTACGCAAACAAGTTTTTCTTTTGTCCCTTAGGATAAGGTCTGCCTTCACACCAGATGTCTTCTCCTTGTAGCACACCAAGATCTTTTTCAACTGCTCAACGTTCAACTTCTTTAAATCTTCAAGGGAATCGACAGTTTTTCCGCCAGGCAACAAGGTCTTGAATTGTTCCATAATTATTATAGAGTAATACACGTAATACGAATAGCCGGCTAACAAGTTGTTTTGGTGTGTCGGCAAGGAGCTAGCGTTGTGCGGAACAACGTTAGCCTCTTTTCCGAATCATGTCTCGCAATGACAATCGAATGTGAAAGGGGTCTATTGATTTTCAGCAAATAGAGATATATCATGTTGGATCTTGAAGCAAACTGGCCTGATCGGTTGCCACCTGCCAGCGGCCACATCCGGTTTAAGTGCGCTCATGCCAAATCGATTGTCACACAGTATAAATCGAGGAAAGTACGGAGAATCCTTTCAATCAAACTTATTGTCGTACCGATAGTCAGTGTTATGTAAGGTGGGATATCTTTATCGGCAATATTACACAAACTAGAAATTTAATTGAAATGATAAAAAAGAGATTAGAAGTAAAGATATCTCGAACGAAGTAGTAGTATTGTGCAAAAGTGCAAAAGCTTTGTTTAACAAGAAAATATACTTTGAGTTGCCTATTGCGGTGTTTTCGTTTTTCGCATCGTAGTCTCGGACGGGTGCAACTAAAAGGTGAAGAAAATCATCAGAACAAGATAGGCACATACTTATCGGAAAGAGGAAGGATATCAAAGACAAGGATGGTACGAGAAAATGGAACAGCACACCTTTGTCTGTCGCTGGCCCCAAACAACTTGGGGGAACAGAGCGCAATAATTACAGGAGCCATTATTATTTTATTTGCCTTTTTCAATATCCTGTCAAACTCCCTTTTGATTTTTGCATTGTACAAATCGAAGCAGCTACGGACATTTTCAAATAAATTCATTCTCATAATGACAGTGTCGGATTTGTGCTTGGGAGTTTTTACACAGCCTGTTACGGCGGCAATCTGGATATCAAGTAGACAAAGAAACTGCCTTGAGCTCAAATCTGTTGAATTTATGGTGATTTTTTTGGGATATATTTCGGCCTTAATGATACTTTTGATCTCGGTTGATCGGTACCTTCATGTTACAAAACCAGCCCGCTATCGGATGTTGGTGAATGCATTTCGAATGAAGTTGTCTGTAGTTCTTTCAGCAGTGCTTGCATTTTGCTTTGCCTTAATCTTTGTAATCAATACCTCTTTCTACCAACACACTTTTCTTACTATTGTTAACAATTTTATGATGCTTTGTTTTGCAATATTAAATACCAAGACCCTTAAAAGCCTGGAAAGGCACGAGAAAAACACAGTCTTACGGTTAAAGCAGGATAAAAGCGGTCAAGAAGCCTCATGCCATCATAAAACAGCTCAGCTAACTGCAATTAAGACAATTCGATGGGTTATGGCAGCATTTTTCATCTTTTATCTTCCATATAACATTGTTTCAATCGTTTGGACTTACTTCAGATTCCAATTGAAAGTCGAACCTGGGATGACATTAAACGCCTTGTACCAATGGACATACTTAATCTTGTTTAGCGGGACTTTCATCAACTCTTGGATCATAATACGGGGTAATACAAAGTGCAGGAGAGTCATTTTATCGATCCTCCAAAATAAAAGCGTTGGTTTTGAATGAAAGGGAGAATGCGAAAAGATTGGCATTTCCAAAATATCATCAAATCCCCAGTGGAACTGAAAAGACAAGCAGGATATGTGGTATCAAAAAAGGAGACAGAGATGATTTATAAACAATGCATTATTTAAAGTATTGTTGATATTATTCGTTGCTTAATGTATATTGAGTAGTTATACCTTCTTGCAACTAATTATCGTTTTGAAAGCATCATCTAGTGTTGTATTGTCTTAATCGTCTCTTTTGATATTTTGAATGAACTTTTAAATGTTTAATGACCTCTTGTATGACAAGTTGTTCGAGTTGAGACATTATTTGTAATATCAAGAAACATGAAATTTCTTTCTAGTACCTATGTGGGAATATGGCGTCGCTCAAACAAGTAGACAAAACAAAGGGCGTGGTTGGCAAGTTAGGTATGTCGTGATAAGTAAACTCTTAAGTGTTGTATGTCGTGATAAGTAAACTTTTCAGTAACATTGTGTATTGAAACTTCCCAAAGCATTTATAATTTGGAGTACAGTAATCTGTCCAATTAACGGACACTCTAAAAGGTGGACACCTCTGATTAGCGGAAAATGTTTTCCCCAGTCGTTTTCTGGTCAAAGTCTCATAAAAAACTTTCTAAAAAGCGGACACTTAACTAGTGGACACTCTAATTAACGGACAATATTGTTTGCACAAAATAGTCAATTTGGCTTTTTTTCTTTGCAATTAGCGGACAGTACACAAAATTTAGGAGCCAGCGAACAAAAAAATGAGACATATGAATATTTGTTCAAATTTTTATTTCAAACACTTTGACACTTGATAATCTAGTTGGTTTTTTACAGCTTCGAGCTTCTTTACAGCCCATTAAAGTAAATTTTTTCCATGAAAGTGTTGTGTTACGCTCAATTTGGATATTTTTTATTTTTTTAGTCTCTAAGTTTTAGTGGCGCCAGAAATCTTCCGACAGAGGGTTTGGAGCTTACGACAGGGGGCTAAAATGACTACAATATGCAGCTTTTGCACGCTGTTTTGTCAAATTTGCTCCTGGCTCTGGCCCCGACAGTGTCCGCTAATTGGAGAGAATACTGTACTAAACGTTGATCAACGAAATTGATTGCAACATCAATAAGGAATCTGACAGTTTTCACCAAAATGAAATAATAGCTGCGGTTAGCCTTGTCATTAATTACTTGAAGAGAATACACAGTCTAAAGATATGCTAACTTGAATTTCATTTATTTACAGTAACGGAGACTTTAATTTTTTGCGAAGAAGGAGTTTTCGATATTTCTAACATCACAGTGTGGAGTTGAAGAATCGCACTGACTTGAATTGAGAAAAATTGAAAACGGTTGCGTGAATGTGCAATACTTAAAAGGAATGCATGGTTGTATGTTGAAACGATTAATTGGCGGTGTATGCTTATTAAACAGCAAATGTTTTGCCACCAAATCCCGTAAAATGGTTTTTGTTGATTCAAATATGGAAATTTGCTAATTGTCATAAAAATGATAAAATACGGTTTGCAATGTCCAAAGATTTCTAAACAGATTCTTTTTATTGCTGCATGCGAGTGTAAACAAAAAGAATTGAATTTAGCCCTTTGGTCTCAACAATATGATATATTTGTATCAAGAAAAGACACTGTTTGCAAAAAGATTCTAGAAAGCTAGAGAAAGCATAACATTTCACGTGTTGATATAGGACATAAGGAAATGGAAAAAATAATAATCTGGCAATTTTAATTGAAATCGGACAAAATTTGTTTACTCTGGGCAAAGGTAAACGTAAAAAGGACTAATTGGCCAATTGCAACAAAGAAATAAAAAGATATATCATTGATTTCTTCAATACGTACAAGGAAAGTGCTTTGACGAACATGGTCGGTGAAAATGGTACTGCGTCCTTGTGTATGTCATTAATCACCAAAAATCATGGAAATCTAAACAAAACTCTAGTTGGATACTTCAGGGGTGGCGCTAGAAGCAAACATTGAAGGTGCAGAGGAAAGTACGGAGAATCCTTTCAAATTAAACTTATTGTCGTACGGACAGTCAGTGTTATGTAAGGTGGGATATCTTCATCGGCAATATTACACAAACTAGAAATTAAATTAAAATGACAGTAAAGAGATTAGAAGTAAAGATATCTCCAGTGAAGTAATAGTATTATGCAAAAGTGCAAAAGCTTTGTTTAACAAGAAAATATACTTTGAGTTGCCTATTGCGGTGTTTTCGTTTTTCGCATCGTAGTCTCTCAGACGGGTGCAATTAAAAGGCGAAGAAAATCATCAGAACAAGATAGGCACATACTTATCGGAAAGAGGAAGGATATCAAAGACAAGGATGGTACGAGAAAATGGAACAGCACACCTTTGTCTGTCGCTGGCCCCAAACAACTCGGGGGAACAGAGCACAATAATTGCAGGAGCCATAATGATTTTATTTGCCTTTTTCAATATCCTGTCAAACTCCCTTTTGATTTTTGCATTGTACAAATCGAAGCAGCTACGGACATTTTCAAATAAATTCATTCTCATAATGACAGTGTCGGATTTGTGCTTGGGAGTTTTTACACAGCCTGTTACGGCGGCAATCTGGATATTAAGTAGACAAAGAAACTGCCTTGAGCTCAAATCTGTTGAATTTACGGGGATATTTTTGGCATATATTTCGGTCTTAATGATACTTTTGATCTCGGTTGATCGGTACCTTCATGTTACAAAACCAGCCCGCTATCGGATGTTGGTGAATGCATTTCGAGTGACTGTGTCTGTAGTTCTTTCAGCAGTGCTTGCATTTTGCTTTGCCTTAATCTTTGTAATCAATACCTCTTTCTACCAACACACTTTTCTTACTATTGTTAACAATTTTATGATGCTTTGTTTTGCAATATTAAATACCAAGACCCTTAAAAGCCTGGAAAGGCACGAGAAAAACACAGTCTTACGGTTAAAGCAGGATAAAAGCGGTCAAGAAGCCTCATGCCATCATAAAACAGCTCAGCTAACTGCAATTAAGACAATTCGATGGGTTTTGGCAGCATTTCTCATCTTTTATCTTCCATATAACATTGTTTCAATCGTTTGGAGTTACTTCAGATTCCAATTGAAAGTCGAACCTGGGATGACATTAAACGCCTCGTTCCAATGGACATACTTAATCATGTTTAGCGGGACTTTCATCAACTCTTGGATCATAATACGGGGTAATACAAAGTGCAGGAGAATCATTTTATCGATCCTCCAAAATAAAAGAGTTGGTTTTGAATGAAAGGGAGAATGCGAAAAGATTGGCATTTCCAAAATATCATCAAATCCCCAGTGGAACTGAATCAGACAAGCAGGATGTGTGGTATCAAAAAAGGAGACAGAGATGATTTTTAAACAATGCATTATTTAAAGTATTGTTGATATTATTCGTTGCTTAATGTATATTGAGTAGTTATACCTTCTTGCAACTTACTATCGTTTTGAAAGCATCATCTAGTGTTGTATTGTCTTAATTGGCCTAAGAAGTGTTGAAATGTTGAGAAACTTTGTATGGAATTATTTAAAGATTTCCTACCTCCGTGTGCAACAGAAAAAAAATATAGTTGCATGCACTCATTTTTTAATAAAATAATCTAATAAGTGAGTACTGGATAGTTAGAAAAAATTTAGAAATTTCAGCACTCGAAGGAAAATACATGAAAAACAATTTAAAAGATGCTATGATTTATTCCACATTATGCAGTGCTAGAACCGTTTTGTGCAATGATATGATAACAAGTAACAGTGTGCATCCATAAAACTATTTGCACCCGTTATACGGCAAACGTTATGCATTTTTCACAAATTTCAAAATTTAATTTCTTAACCAGTTCTCAATAACCAATTAACCAGTAGATGATGAAATCAAAACTGCTTGCTGATTATATATTTGATTTCGTTTGTTTATAAACCAGCAGAATTTTCTGTCAAATTCTACTAAGCAAGAGTGTTTTCCAAATTTGTTCTCACCGAAGAAAAAAAAAGAATCTATGTTGCAAAACGATCACAGGAAAAAAATATAATAAACAAAACATTCAACAATCAGTTTATTGTTTTTGCTATTTAGTTACAAAGTAACGAAGCTACGAATATGTTGATATTTAGAATGAACTTTTAAAAGTTTAATGACCTCTTGTATGACTATAACAAGTTGCTCTAGTTGAGACATTATTTGCAATTTCAAGAAACATGAAATTTCCTTCTAGTATCTTTGTGGGAAAATGGCGTCGCTCATACAAGTAGAAAAAACAAAGGGCGTGGTTGGCAAGTTAGGTATCTCGTGATAAGTAAACTCTTCAGTAACATTGTGTATTGAAACTTCCCAAAGCATTTATAATCTGGAGTACAGTATTCTGTCCAATTAACGGACACTCTAAAAGGTGGACACCTCTGATTAGCGGAAAATGTTTTCCCCAGTCGTTTTCTGGTCAAAGTCTCATAAAAAACTTTCTAAAAAGCGGACACTTAATTAGTGGACACTCTAAATAACGGACAATATTGTTTGCACAAAATAGTCAATTTGGCTTTTTTTCTTTGCAATTAGCGGACAGTACACAAAATTTAGGAGCCAGCGAACAAAAAAATGAGACATATGAATATTTGTTCAAATTTTTATTTCAAACACTTTGACACTTGATAATCTAGTTGGTTTTTTACAGTTTCAAGCTTCATTACAGCCCAGTTTACTAACTTTTCTTGTCCATAGAAGTGTTGTGTTACGCTCAATTTGGATATTCTTCTCTTGTTTTAGTGTCTATGTTCGACCCGGAAGTCACTAATTACCCAGGCTACACCCTGAGGTGGAGCCAGAAATCTTCCGACTGAGGGGTTGAAGCTTACGACAGGGGGGCTAAAATGACTAAAATATGCAATTTTTGTAGGTTATTTTGTCAAATTTGTTCCTACAATAACCTAAAATTTCCTCCGATTGGGGGAAGGGGATCTAAGTGTTTTCGACTGAGAGGCTGCCCCCGTAGCCATCCCCCAGCACCACCACTGATTAAACTTTTCAAATACAAAACTGGGTCTATTTTCAACTTCGGGACTTGTATCGCAAGAATTTCCAAAAGGCGGATACTTTCAATTAGCGGACACCTGGTTCTGGCCCCGACGGTGTCCCCCAATTGGAGAGAATACTGTACTAAACGTTGATCAACGAAATTGATTGCAACATCGATAAGGAATCTGACAGTTTTCACCAAAATGAAATAATAGCTGCGGTTAGCCTTGTCATGATTACTTGAAGAGAATACACAGTCTAAAGATATGATAACTTGAGTTTCATTTATTAACAGTAACGGAGACTTTAATTTTTTGCGAAGAAGGAGTTTTCGATATTTCTAACATCACAGTGTGGAGTTGAAGAATCGCACTGACTTGAATTGAGAAAAATTGAAAACGGTTGCGTGAATGTGCAATACTTAAAAGGAATGCATGGTTGTATGTTGAAACGATTAATTGGCGGTGTCTGCTTATTAAACAGCAAATGTTTTGCCACCAAATCCCGTAAAATGGTTTTTGTTGATTCAAATATGGAAATTTGCTAATTGTCATAAAAATGATAAAATACGGTTTGCAATGTCCAAAGATTTCTAAACAGATTCTTCTTATTGCTGCATGTTGAGTGCAAACAAAGAGAGTTGAATTTAGCCCTTTGGTCTCAACAATATGATATCTTTGTATCAAGAAAAGACACTGTTTGCAAAAAGCTTCTAGAAAGCTAGAGAAAGCTCAACATTTCACGTGTTGATATAGGACATAAGGAAATGGAAAAATATTAATCTGGCAATTTTAATTGAAATCGGACAGAATGTGTTTACTTTTGGCAAAAATAAACGTAAAAAGGACTAATTGGGCAATTGCAGCAAAGAAATTGAAAAAAAGCATTGATTTGTTCAATACGTACAAGGGAAGTGCTTTGACGAACATGGTTGGTGAAAATGGTACTGCGTCCTTATGTATGTCATTAATCACCAACAATCATGGAAATCTTAACAGAACTCTAGTTGGTTGCTTTGCGATTCTATTTGCACTTGTGAACATAATTTCGAACGGTCTTTTGATATTCGCACTGTGCAAATCAATACAGCTTCGAACATTCTCGAACCAACTCGTCTTCATAATGACCGTATGCGATTTGTGCACTGGAATTTTTGTACTCCCTGCATTGGGAACACATTGGATCATTGAAAAACAGAGAAGTTGCTTTGAGTTAAAATGTATTCAATTTGCAACGATATTTCTTGGATACACATCGTTTTTAATGGTTATTTGCATCTCTGTCGACCGATATTTTCACGTAAAAATAGGAGTAAGGTATATTTCTTTCGCGAATACTTACAAAAAGGCAGTGTTAGCATCAGTTTTTATAATACTTGGTTTTTTCATTGGAATATTACACGCAACTTTCCTCTCGTTCTACTTTCTTGTTGTAATGGTAGTTTTAAACGTGCTTTTAACTTCATGGTTGCTTATATTGAATACAAAGACACTCAAAATCGTTGAACTTCATCAGAGAACAACAGTACTACGACTGCAAATTGGTAATCAAGCAAAAAGTGGCAGGAATAGTGTCCCGAATGAAAAGCTCAGTGCTGTTAGAACGATTCGTTTGGTAATAGCAGCAATTTTAGCCTGTTATCTTCCACCCAACATGACAACTATTGCTTGGACGTACTTTAAGTTCCAGCTACAATCAGAGCCAGGAGTGACTTTAAACATACTTTATGAATGGCTAACTTTGATTGTTTTCGCTCAGACATTCCTGAACTCGTTTATAATAATACAAGGTAACAGAAAATGTCGGAGAGCAATATTATCGATTTTCAGAACGGACAGAGTTGATCATGAATTAAGAAAGGATTGATATTATCAGTAAAGTTTTATGTTTTACATTTGATTATTCTTTTAAAGTTTCAATAATTTTTTTGAATCGGAATTTTAAAATGGGAAGCTGAATTGAACAGAAAGATAATTGTGTCAATAAACACTGCAAGGATGTGTCAAAAATCGACGAGAAACACCGGAAAGCGCTTCACGCCATCTTGAGCTAATGTTACATGATGGCGTTTTGCTGTGCCTAAGGGGTAACCCACTCTTGCAAAGAGCGTACGAGATTACTTCAAAAAAAGATTTCCAAGGATTTTCAGACAAAACGATAGGATTTCCAGCTAAGGTGTATGAGAAATTAATTGCATGACCCATGGCTGTGATATGGGAAGACAGAGATCTGTTTTCCGTATTTTGGTGGTTTACTTTCTTCTATTGGTTTCTGCAATTTTTTAGTCTTAAAGTAGCTTGTAATTTACGTACATCAGCATGCAGAACGGCATGTCCTCGGCTTCAATTCTATGGCTAGGCCTTAAGACTCTACATCCCAGTTTTGCATTTTCTTGTACGCACGTCTCCTACTGACGACTCAAGCCAATAGATCTCCTGCAAGGATTCTGTTTCGCTCCATTTGGGAATTTCGTTCCACGCAACGCCGCCCCACACAAAAAAGTGCAAAAAGCAGTTATAATTAAAACTGACTAGATATTTTGTTTGAGTGCGCCACTTACCTTGTGTCCTGAGACTGGATAACTCCTCTGATACGTTCTGCCTGTCCACCCAAACACTGCTCTCAATCTAAAATGTTGATGAATACTAAAATTTGACGAATTCGGACCAATGTTGATGGCATGTAAGATTTTCATAGCCAGACTCTCAAATGGATCTAATTGCAAGAAAAAAGTTAAAAATGTGGATACTAAATGGGAGAACATATAGATAATTTGATGATCAAAAAATAGAAAAGAAATGGAATAAAAGCCAGGCATAAATAGCCCTATTATCGTACTTTATCAAGCAACCTGTCGATTTCAAAACTTTTCGTTCGTAAACATCACCAACAAATATTATTCAGACAAATATTTTTGATAATGAACAATTGATGTCAATTATGTTATATTTAGAGACACACAATTTTTAGAGACACTAATGGCTAGCATGGATATTTTTCTGACCCGCAGTTTAAGAGCAAACTAACAATCGTCAGACTTAATAAAATGGGCAGTTGAAACTCAAACTATTCCCGAATGAATGACACATAATTAGCAATTGAAGCCAGCTGATTATAAGCTGACTTTTTTTAATTATTGTTGCTGCAATCGGGAAATGTCATTATTAGCAAACGAAAAGGCGTACCTCTCTAGAAAACACCCGGGATAACGTTTTCCTAAACAAACCATCCAAAGACAAATGATACTTTATTATCAGAACAGCAGACACAACTGATGGCAGAAGGCTTTTCACTTAAGAAGCCGTTTGGTTATGTGAATTGGTGATCATTCTTTCGCATTAAGTATGGGCTTGCCAAAGGATTTAAAATATCGATATAATCAAATTAAATGTAGAATCTATTTTGTTATTTGCTTAAGCATTTCGTACTATTGTTACTTACTATGGTGAATATTGACTGGCATTTTCATTGCTTTAAATCTTTTTCTACCTGCAGATTTGTTCTCGTTTCTATCTAAAAGAAATAGACAGTAATAAAATTCAACAAAATGTTCTTATGCATAAAAAGCAGATTATTATAGTTGTACCTTGTAAACGGTGGTTTTTGGAAGACAAACATCCTCCTCTCAAAGCTCTCTTGAAATGTAGATTTAAATACTTTGTGTTTTTTATGAAGTAGCTCTATTAAAAGGTAGTCCGATCAAACGATTTCAGAATGGTTTTCTACTTGCACGAAATTCTTGTGACAGACTCTCTTTAATAAATTCTTCATTGAACAGGCGCAGACCTGGCACACCTCTGTGAACAGTTATTGCGTCTGCCTTAGTACACAGTTGAATAAAAAATCGTTTGGAAAAATCACCCCAACACTGGCAAAATAATATCAAATTTTTGGATGTCATTCCATATCTTGAATTAATTGAAAGTTTGTGATAATGCTGATAGTTATGTCAAACCAAGATTTTATGCCAAATGCCAAATGCCAAATGATATCCTTTTATATCAAGTGTTTTCAATACCAACGCATTTATACTTAACCAAAGAATCAATCACCTCTGGTAAAAAAACCTACTTAGTTCATACTTTTAAAGCGAGGCCATAAAGTTTTAAAATATTCATGGCTCAGTAGCTGTAAGCTCAACTGGTAATGCAAGAAGCCGAGTAGCCGAGTGGCTAAGGCACTTGACCGCCATGCCAACGCTCCAGGTTCGATCCCGGCTCGCGGATGGCCCTGATTTCATTAACCTGAAAATGAGTACCTAGTTGAAACGTACCTGGGACGTAGAAGTGGCGTGGAAAGGGACTGGCCACCACACAATGCCACCACACAATGCCACCATACAATGCCACCACACAATGCCACCACACAATGCTACCACACAATGCCACCACACAATGCCACCACACAATGCCACTACACAATGCCACCACACAATGCCATCACACAATGCCACCACAAAATGCCATCACACAATGCCACCACGCAATGCCACCACACAATGCCACCACACAATGCCACCACACAATGCCATCACACAATGCCACCACACAATGCCACCACACAATGCCACCACACAATGCCACCACACAATGCCATCACACAATGCCACCACACAATGCACCACACAATCCACCACACAATGCCACCACACAATGCCACCACACAATGCCATCCACACAATGGCCAACCACACGATGCCACCACCAGCCAATGCCACCGCACACATGCCACCACACAATTGCCATTCACACAATGCCACCACACGATTGCCACACACGAATGCCACCACACAATGCCACCACACAATGCATCACGACAATGCCAGCCACACAATGCCATCCACAACAATTGCCACCACACCAAATGACCACCACACAATGCCATCACAAAATTGCCACCAAACAATGCCACCCACCACAATGCCACCAACAATCCACACACAATGCCACCACACAAATGCCACCACACAATGCCACCACACCAAATGCCATCACACAATCCACCACACATGCCACCACAACAATGCCACCACCAGCATGCCCCACACAATGCCACCAACACAATCCATCACACAATGCCAGCCACACAATGCCATCACACCAATTGCCACCACACAATGCCACCACACAATGCCATCACAAAATGCCACCACACAATGCCACCACACAATGCCACCACACAATGCCACCACACAATGCCACCACACAATGCCACCACACAATGCCACCACACAATGCCACCACACAATGCCATCACACAATGCCACCACACAATGCCACCACACAATGCCACCACACAATGCCACCACACAATGCCACCACACAATGCCACCACACAATGCCACCACACAATGCCACCACACAATGCCACCACACAATGCCACCACACAATACCACCACACAATGCCACCACAAAATGCCACCACACAATGCCACCACACAATGCCACACAATGCCACCACACAATGCCACCCACCAAACCAATGCCAGCCACCAACAACTGCCACCACACATGCTATCACACTGCCACCCACACAGTGCCGCCGCTCAGGACGATGCGCCCCCTAACGGTCAAGCTGACAGGGCATTCCCCCAACGTTGATATCGAATACGCGACTAACCATATTCACTTGTTAAGGGAAAGAAGCAGAGCCTCAAAATTACTAAGAGTTGGGTAGAAATGTAGAATCTGTTGAGCCAATAGCTTTCAGGATCTCCGCCAAGTGATTATGAAAAACGATTATTGATCAGGCATTTCACAAACCAAATAGATTATCCTTGTTATATGCATTCAAGCTAAAACACATATATTTCGATGGATTATTAGAACGAACAATAATCGCAAGAAAATCGAGATTAAGAATAATATTTATTTAAAACTTGAAATGTTATGTGAGATGTAATCTGGGAATAATTCACGTATCCCAGTATAGCGAAACAACTCGCAATGAATCTTTAGTCAATGTTACTGAAGGAAAGCCAGCAAAAATCATCTACAGTATATTCATCTTAGATGTATGATACAAGAAGTATAATTGCAACTGGCCACCATCAAATGCAGCCTTACCTTGAGATCATATAGCCATTTTATGAACACATTGAATGCAAGAGGCCAAAAACTCAACTGAGACTTCTAATTTTAAAGGCATCTAATACTAGTCTTGAAAATAATTGCTTTGACAACATGAGCATCTAAAATTGTTAGTTTTGCTCCCTAACTATGTTTGATGCATGGATATCAAGAAAACGGCTTTTGGCCTATCGACTTGCACTTCAAAATTGACACGTTTAATGTTCATTTAAATCGTTGTTGACGCAGATGTTAAGACAACATGAAATTTGCTATTCACAACAAAGAGAGCATAAAGCTTATAGTAAAAACCGCAGATACGTAGTAGTTTGAAGAATCAGAGCTCTTCCTAAGAGTATTTTTAAGCCGTTGTAATAATCTGTTTATTTTGCGCGATATAAACAAAGTTTGACGTGGTCAAATGCATACAATGCCATGCTCTTAATTCTCTAATTATAGAGATATCCAGATAATAATATGCCCTTGTGTATTGATCTATTAAAATGTACATGTCTGTTTTATCTTATTATTGAAGCTTCTTTACAAAAGGAGATCACACCAGACTGTTCAGAGGATTCAGTTTGCTTTAATCAGGTAAACGACGTATC